GAACCAATTTTTTCAATCATTTTGGACGGATTTGCCAATCATTCCTTAAATCAAGGATTTTCTTCGACTTAAAATTTCAAAGTATCGACTTCAAAATCTGGTGTATATCAAATTGTATGCATTTTAAAATTCAAAAACACCAATGCACATGTTTTTTAGATATAAATATTTTAAAAAAAATTTGGACTTATTTTTTCCATCATTTTGGACGGATTTTCCATCCATTCCTTAAAATTAAGGATTTTGTTCACTTAAACTTTCAAATATCAACTTCGACATATGATGTATATCAAATATATGCATTTCAAAAACTAAAAACACCAATGCACACCTGTTTTAGATATAAACTTCCTACAATGCAAGATTTTGTTCAATTTGACATGTATTTATAAATCACACCTTTTCAAAATTTTAACTTATTTTATTTAGATTTTCGTGATTTCGAATTTGAAATCATCTGTTGGAGTAATTTGTAATTACTAATATTTTTGTAAACTTTAAAACATGTTTTTCGGGAAAATGTTTGACACATTCTATAGATTAAATTTAAATGTCTTTAGACATGTTTTGGTTACAAAATAGTTTAGAAAAATTTTAGGTAATATATAATATTTTACATAATCTTATATATGTTATATAATATTTTATGCGTTTTAATATTTTAAACATACATGTTTTATGTTATCTTAGACAAAAAAAATTTAGATTGTAAATCATATCACATGTTAACCCCACTTCATTTAATTTATAATTATTATTTAATATTATTTACACACTCATTAATTTATAATTATTATTTAATATAGTTTACCCGTGTATCGCAATAGCTATGCACTAGTATACCATATATTAGCAATAACAAATAATAGAAACTGAATTAATTTATAATTAAATAAATAGAATTTTTTTTTTTAATTTATTTTGCTTATCTAAGATGTTTTATCATAAACAATGGAATGAGCATTTAGTGGAGTTAGATTATGGAAAACAAGCAAAAATGTAGGACAAATGTTAGCATGATTGAGTAATTATATATGTGTGGCCATGCAGCGATACCAAACATTATGTCAGGATCTTGTTCCTTTCTGCCTCTCAACATTTTATATATATAAGGACAAACGTGACTGAATTGACTGGGCACACGTATCTTTTATAAATTGCTAATTGTTCTATTTCTATGTATTTCATTTAATTTCATCTTTTTATATAAATTTACACATTTATAAATGGATAATTATAGTATAAGATATATAACAAATTCTATCCCGAGTACCAGAATTATTTGTTAGGCTGCGAGCCTGCAATTCCTCTATTATGAACCGAACCCATACTGTTTTGTGGTCAACCCTACATATGTAAAGACAGAGATATTTCATAGTTGGAATATTTACAAAAATGGAATAGACGTTATTAAAAATAAAAAAACAGACAAGTTTGATATTGTATATATATTTTGAAATTAGTTTATGTGGTGAAATATATTTCGACAGTAATTCGTACAAAATAATATTTTGTCATAAAACCAAATTAATGTAATTTAAGCATTGTGCATGTTTAGTTTGTCCAACCACTTTAATATTTCAATCAAAATATTTTTAATTTTAAAATTAATTAAATCAAACCATTTGATTACTAATTACGAACAAGAACACAAGGTAAATCATTTTAAAAACTAAAAGCATGATATTCGTTTGAATTAATTTCCCAAGTATATACTAAAAACAGTAGATAAGCTTTGAAGAGAAAAAGTATGAAAAGTCACAATTATGTTGTGTTCATTATGATAAATCAACCACAATATCACAATTATAGTCCTCATGTAAAGTTTGTTAATTAAAATGATAGGTAAAAATCCAAGTGTTATTTTTGTATATTTTTTTGACAACTTAACCTTATTTTGTCAACTACGGGAATCCATTTTCTATGACAAATTATTAATTTGTTTATTATATTTATGGTGATTTTATCATTTTAAAAAGGTAAAAAAATAATAATAATTTGTATCCAAAATTTAAACTAGATTAAAAAAAATCAGTCATTTTAAGTACTTAAGGTTAGGCTTCTATTAATAATGTAAGTGAATATGCCAACAGTTTCCAATAAAGTTTAGCCTCACGAAGGTTCTTGTAATATAGGTCGATTTATTATGGGAAAAAGTGCCACTCGTGCGTTACTTCATTATCATATCAAAGAAGGAACAAAACATCTTGAATTAGAAATCATATTCATATAAATCTTAAAAGCAGCCCTAAAATTAGTTAATAATCAATTTATATATCAATTAATTAATTAATTAAGCATAATGGGGCATAGGCTGATTGTAGAGCTAAAGGAAAAGTCAATAAGTGATATCTTAAAATACTTGCAATGAAATAAGAAATATCATACTACAATTTAAGTTTGCTTGTTAAGATTGATCTGTTTATGTGAATAAATTTGACTTTTGAGTGCCATAATAGTGAAAAGGCGAAAGGCTTAAAGTAGCTAAAATCGTCCTATTAAAGTAATATTATTAGGTCCTAATCCACCCAAAATTACTTTTTTAATTGGCGTAGGCCCATTATTACGGTCAAAAACAACACCTAAGCCGAATATTAAGGTGTGTTACTGTCCAACGGCTTTGTTGGATAGTGAAATTACAACATTATTAAATAAAATAGTAAGGCTATCGCCTGTTGTTAGACCGGCAATTATATGGATAAATCTAGCTAAAATGCTAGTTCATAACCGATGTTAATTAATAATTTATTAGTGAATTAATATAGATAGAGCTTATAGTAGATAACTTATGATCACTAATTGTGGCTGAAAAGGTTGAGATTATCTCATAAGCTTGTCTAATGAACTTTATTTTCAAGAAAGCTCGTTGAGTTTTTCAATTTCTTTGACTTATTAACTAAATTTACTAAATACATTTATTATATCATCTAGCTTCTCACTCATGAACCGTAAACAATCAACTATAAGCTTATTTGTACGTTCTATCTTACATGTAAAAACTAAAAACATCGTATTCACTTTTTTACTTCCAACA